GAAACATGAATTCGGCAATAATAAAAGCGGGTAGCGCACGAGACCTAAAAGTGGATGGATGCGGAGACAAGGATTTAGACAGGTTCAGGCCCTCTCAATGAGAGGTAATACGCTACTCCTGTTTGGGGATTTGAATCCACCGGGTGTAGTATAGATCTGATGATCAGGTGTGTCATGCCCCCTAGAGGGCCTCCTGCCCACCTTATATAGGATGGGGGGTAAGATTACAAGATAGAAACCTTAACCAATACGGTATCGGTTTCCTAAATCTATTTTACAATATTATCAAATCAAGACTTTAGGCCGCTCCATAATATAAAAGGAAACGTAATACCCAAGTCATGATCTGTTACATATTCCATAGATATAAGTTATCCCCTATGACTAGTCGGATAACCATGCCGTGTGGGTATAGGGTACCCATAATCTCCACAGTAGCCCCTGAGACCTTCACAGTCGAAAAGATAATATTCTCTCAAACTAATTACTCCAAAGCCGAGTGCTTCAATCATCTTTGCCATGGTCTCCCGAGTACTTTTACCAAATCTAAAGACTGTGGAGGGTTGAAAACTAAAGTCAGGTGCATCGACTAGATGCACCTAATAGGTGTAGCCCCCGACTATGTGGTTAATTAAACAAACCAAGCATATAGTCAAGGAATAAATAATCCAACCAACCGAGTGGTTTCGATAATTGTAGTCAACCAAGCGACTTGATATTAATATGTAGCATATGCGGTGTGAATCCCCAAATAATATAATCCAAGTGATATACCGACTTCTTTGTAAAAATTGATACGAGCAACCTAAAGTTGACTACATCATTGAAAATTCACATAGCAAAATAGCTATAAAAAAGCTTGAATGCTATGAATAAAGAAATTTCCAAAGTATCAGGCATACGCCATGCGCACACTGCTTTAACAGATATGCTTAAGTCCCTAAAAGACACATGGTTTCACCACACTCGGAAATATACGGCATATATGGTGTAAAATCCGAGTAAATAAACTCATAAAGGATTTACCAACCGCCTGGAAAATGACCAAGATATATAATCAGCCTAAGCCATAATATTGGTCAATAAAAATGCACACTTACGTGGCAAAAAGCAATGATATTGTATCCAATCAATTGCTTAAAAACCCAAACAGCACCTTGACTTATATAAAAAAGTCAGCGGGGCAGCTGTATAAAGCTTTACTGTTTGACACCTTTTAAGATGCATAATAACAACTCCTAAAAATTTGAGTAACTGCGGTATAAAAGGATTTTAAAGCATTGGGCACTTGATCACGCGCACTTTGGCCTAAGCAAAAAGTGCCTAAGTCCCTAAAAGAACGTGACAGGCCACACCTGAAAATATGGGCTGCAGACATATTAAGCCTAGGACAAAAAATATGCCTTCGAAACCCTTTAAAGGATGACGCATGTAACATGCTCCCGAGTAATAAATCTTCCGGGTTATATAGACCAAGTGTAGCTCGTATGAATAGCTTCTGATCTGAGTGATTATCCCTTATAGGATACTCCAAAATAGATATAACAATTGAATCCCGACTGGCGCAAGTATTCGGTTGATAACCCTTACGGGAAATAATAAATAGTCCAGTCTTTGAGCATAGAAAATAGACCCATGATCATGAATTCATGTTGCATGTATCCGGAACAAGTCCAAATTGAAGGTATGATACTTGTGTTTGAGCTAATAAGCCCCTGAGTATATAGCTTGTCCTTTTGTCGTAATCATAATTGTCCATTGATGGTAGCTGACACAGTTGGCATAGAGACAAGACGACCAATATAGAGATAATATTGCCCACCAGAGGTGGCAAAAATATTGGTGGTAGTGAAGATAGTGATACCAATCAAAAGTGATGAAGTTGCACAGCCGTGGAGATGAAGAAACCAGTCGGCAACAATCAGGTCAGCCAATAATGAAGATGAAGGCGCCCAGAGATAAAGTTGTGTAGCCATGGCAGCGAAATAATCAGTCGGTGACAGACGAGGCAGATCAAAGACGATGACGAAATCCACCAATCATGAAGATGAAGAAAATAGTCGGTGACGACAAACGCAACCGACAATAATGATGATAAGCAGCAACAGAGATGATCGACTATGATGACGAAGTTGCCCATCAAACAGCAGTAGCATAGGCTATGTTGAAGAAGCTTGACAGGATATTGATGAAGATGACGATGTCGGTGATCCAGTCAATAGCAATGTAGCAACCAATGGTAATGATGAAGACGCTCATCAGCGTTTGCATAGTAGATCAACCGTGAAGGCGAAATAACAAGCCGACAATGACGGAAGTAACCGGAGGCGAGGACGTAGTCATCCATTAGCAACGGCAGAGATGTCACGGCCGATGAAGTAGAGGTGCTGGTGATGAAGTCACTGACAATAATCCATCAAACTGTTGAGAAGATATCGAAGCTTAAGTAATTTTCTTGATGTGTGTATAATGAAGATTGATGCAACACCCCTTGATTTGTAAAGATGGCAGTAGAACTTGGAGTTGTAGCTGTTGCAGATGCTTCACTTAAAGGAAAGTAAATGCTGTTGTCCAACTCATCGAAACTGAGCTGATTGGTTGATAACTCTAAACTCCCAGACATGTAGATAGAATCTCAAACTTGATACTTGAAAATTTTGGAGTAGATTGTGGCAGCGTGGAGAAGCCAAAATTGCCGGTGAAATCATTGGAGCTGCTGAAGTAGAACACTTGCTCTGAAGCGAAGACAAAACTTATAACTCCCGAAGTAGATTCCATAGAACTCGTTGGCTGATTTCAGAGTCTTGTATTTGTGTAGCCCCCGACTCTTTGGTTAGTTGGAAAACAACTGAACATAGAGTCGAGAACTGTAGCTTCTTGTCGTCGAGTAGTCATTGCAATCAAAAGTGAAGATGCATGTTGAAGATGTCCGAGTAAAAATATTGAAGATTTGAACACCACTTGTTATAATAACATGACATCATATTTAGTGACGCATGCCAAAATGTCGAGGCTCATGTAGACGTCGTGGTTGGTGAAGTAGCAAAACTCGCGAAGTAGCAGCAATAGAGTTTGCCGGTGCCGAAGATAATAAAGATGAAGTCACTCCACCATGATGACAAAGTTGCATAGTCGTGATGAAGTGAACATGAGTCGGCGGCAACATAACCAGTCGGCGATGGAATAAGTAGAATGATGACGAAAACGAAGACGTCCTTGAACGGCAGCAAAATAGGCCAGCCATGAAAGTGAAGACACCATGGGCGGCGGCAAAGGCAATCCGATGATGATGATGATGCCAGTCAATGTTGACGAAAACACGTAGCCATAGAGGCGAACAAGCCAGTCGGCGTCAGACAAGGCGGCCAGCAATGAAGACGATGACGTCCATCAATAGTGGTAGCGGTATATACCAGCCGTAGAGGCGAGGGCACTAGTCAGCAGCAGACGAAACGACCGGCGGCGAAGATGATAAGGCCAATCAACAGTATTAGAATCCTGCAGCCATGAAAGTGAAGAAACCAGTCGTAGACATAGACAACTTGAGTTGAAGGTGATGACGCATATTTGTGGTGGCGGCGACGTGGCCAGCCATGAAGACGATAGCATCAATTAGCGTCATACGAAGCGGCCGGTCGGTGAAGATGTAGGCGTCAACGACGGCAGCATAATAGGCCAGCCGTGTAGGCGGAGACACCAGTCGGCGGCGGCGAAGGCGGCTGGTTTGTGAAGGTGTAGACGCCCAACAACGGCGGCATAATAGGCCAGCCGTGCAGGCGGAAACACCAGTCGGCGGCGGACGAGGCGACCGATCGGTGAAGACGTAGACGCCCAACAACGGCGGCATAATAGGCCAGCCGTGCAGGCGGAAACACCAGTCGGCGGCGGACGAGGCGGCCGGTCGGTGAAGACGTAGACGCCCAACAACAGCGGCATAATAGGCCAGCCGTGCAGGCGGTGATAGCAGTCGGCGGCGGCGAAAGCACGCTGGCCAGACGCTCAACAACGGTGGTGTGACCAACCAACCGTATAGGCGAAAACACCAGTCGGCGGCGACGAAGGTAAGCCGGTTGGTGAAGACGTAGACGCCCAACAACGGCGGCATAATAGGCCAGCCGTGCAGGCGAAGACAGTCAGCGGCGGCGAAGACAAGCCAGTGGTGATATTCTGACTGATCCATTCCTGAATCGTAGGAGATAAGTTTAAAGCTATGAATCCCTTTTATGCATATCTGGATCTGGATCTTACAGAACAAACATATAAGATGAGTAGTATCTGATGTAAATATAATACTCGAGGAAAATTCAAGTATTTTAAAATGTTTATAATATGTATTTCTCTTCTTGTCAATTTTGATTTCCCCGAGCAGATGACTCCGTACGTTTAAACACTCTGCCTAACTAGTCATAGCCCCCAAGCATCGAGAGTCGGCCAAGGCACTTTCCAGAGATGCAAATGAGTGACATGAGTTCGTCATTAATGAAACAAAGTTTCACGGATCAGAATTTACTCACTACTGGAGAGGGAAACACTCCGTAGTGCCAAAAACACACCGCAACACACAAAAAACACTCCGTAATCAGGTTACTCAGTGCCACACTCCGCAATTTTCACCAGGGAGTGATGTTGTCTTCCCGTGCATCGTAGCGGTGTGTTTTTATGCATACACTCCGTAACCATCCGAAAGTTACGTAGTGCCGTAGAAACTCGGTAACCTTTTCAGCACACCGTCCACCGGAACTGAACAGCAACAAGGAACGGGAGACGGAGCGTTTGCACATGATAGCACACGTTAACTTTACAGGGTGTGCGCAAACACACCGTAAGTTTTCCCTGGTTACGGGTGCAGATTAGTGGCACTCTGTAACATTTTAGGTTGTTACCGGGTGCCTCAGCATTTTGATATTTGAGGGGCAAATTAATAGGAATATACAGCTTCATTTCTATTAATTATCTATAGCAGAATTCCAGCATCCATACACATCACATGCAGTTACACATAAAACACAATAATGGATTTAAATGCATTTGACATGCATGTTCATTCAATTAATCAATATGACAACAATCTGATATGAAATAATAACAATACAAATCTCAGAAACAGCTACAACTGAGATGAAATTGAGCACTATCTTCAACCAGTATAAGCATGGGCAACCAAAAGGCCGTGCAACCAGAAAAAAAGCTTAGACGAACAGCATTGCCGGCAGTCTGGAAAAAGAAAAGGACTTAATAACCATCAATCATTGTCTGTTTTTCATCCTGGGATAGCTTCATCACTCTAAAATGGATGCCACTATCGCCATCAGCCATGATGTAACCCCAGCTTTTACCATTAGCTATAGTGTGCTTCCTAGTTTTCCATGAAATTGCCAATTGCTTAGCTCAACTAATGAAGTCCATATGACTGCAGCATCAGGAGGTGAAGGATCTGATGATTCACAAAACAAATTCAACATCAAAATCCCATACATCAATACTATGTTCTGATATTAAGAAAGAAGTATACATTGTTACTTAGTTCTGGTATGTCTTTCTAGTGCTTACCTTTGCCAGGAGCCTAGAACTAAAGCAGTGTAGGTCACATTAATTGTTCCAAAGGTACAAATTAGTTCTTACAAAGACACCCAATAGTATTCATGCTAAAGAGAGCAATTAGACATAGCCTAGATAGATGAATTTACTAAGACAACCAGAGAGTAACTTCAAAAAATTTCAGAAAACCTCGGCTTGAACCAGTGAAATGCTAATGATCTAGTGCTAACTAGCTATATGTAAACAAATAACATAAACACTACCTTTACAAAAATCTTAGGTATTGTTCAATGAAGAATTGTACTATGCAAACTACTATTTGTAATGGTATTGACGAACTGTAATATCGGAAACATTAGTGTAAGCACATCACCAATTATGATTTCTAACCTGGAAAAAAATGTAAAGGGACGAAGAGATTACACTTAAATCGTTCCTGCAACATCATTGTCAGAAGTAATTGTGATATGACCTCCATTACATCCTATCAGAATTTCCTTACCTGCATATATTTTAAACAAAAGGTTAGTACACTTGTGAACTTATAATTCTGATCAGCAACTGCAGATAATTTATGGATTGGTTGCACCATGTATGCTACCTATCATATTGCAGTCCTCTGAGACTCGGATGTCTTCACGACCAATGGTTGATGTCTACACAAAGAAGAAAAATATAATATACCAAATCGACTTTAGAATTGGATCGATGTTGTTCCAGGTTGTCTAAAATATCTGTAAGGATCCTTGCATATCTTGATGTAGCTGCTCAGTCAGTAGTAAAGCTTAGAAGCATAACTTTAATACTGATATACATACACCCAGCCCTACAGGCCAAAGATGCAAGACTTCAATTACTGAGATACATACACAAAGGCCTAGGGCAAAAATATGGTATTTGATTACAGAAAGACATGAGCTGAAGCATAAGCAAGCATCCTCTAGGAAAAAAAGATTCTTGTGGAACCAATGCAGACAAAATCTGTCATTAGAATCACCACTGAAGAAGCGAATTTTAAAATACTAAATCCCGCTACAAACATCACTAAGCAAAAATCATGTGCATCTACATTCTACAATTTTATTATTCTCTATTTTCAGAATATGCACTGCATCACGAACTAATCAGCCACTAAATCTCACATCACATCCATTCACTGTCATCAGATCTGAACAAACACAAGATTTGGCCTCTACCTCCACCCCACAAGACTACATCCCCTTTGCCCCATCAGCAAAGAACAGCCAGGAGCCCATCCCAACCCCTCTCCCCATCCCCTTAGCCCCTATCAGCAAGATGCAAAAGAAGAAGAGGAAACATTAGGAGAGGGGAAGAGGAAGGAGGGGAGGGGCAAGACGACCTCGTACTGTTGCTTCCTTGAGGCTGTACCGCTTGTGACTGCCGTTGCAGCTGCCGCAGAGCACGTAGCGCTCGCCACCGCACCGGCTGCAGGCGGCGAGGGCGGTTGCGCCGGCGCCGGCTACAACGCGTCGGAGCTCGCCGGACTCGTGGAGGCGGCGGACCTCCTCGGCGCCGCCGAGGTGGCGGCCGCCGACGAACACCTGAGGGAGGGTGACACCGCGCGCGCGGGGGAGGAGCGCGCCGAGCTCCTGGAGGTAGCGGGGGTCCATGGCGAGGAGGGGTCGACGGCTGTCAACGGAGAGGAGAGGAGAGGATAGAAGGGGAAGATTAGGTTGGTCAAAGTGAAAGTGAAAATATCAGGAGGGGAGAGAGAAGAGGAGATGAGATGAAAACATTTGAAGCCAGGAGGAAGGAAAAAAATATTAATTTTAAAATATTAAAATTTCGAATCGAATTTTATTATACTAAATGAACTCATGTGTAAAAGTTGTCAAAAATAAAGTTGTAGAACTCGTTGAAATCTACCATTTTTCTTTTGGTCATTTTTCCATCCGACTTTGATTAAACTATATAAAATTTAAATTTTAAAATATAAGAAATTCAAATAATTTTTCGAGTAGTAAATGATTTTAAATGAAAAAAATTGTCAACATCAAAATTGTAAAACACATCAATATCTACAACTTTTGTTTTGGTTATTTTTCTATATGACTTTGTTTCAATAGTTTGAATTTGAATTTCAAATTATGACAACTTCAAACAACGTTTTCAAATAGTAAATGATTTCAACTGAAAAGGTCATCAACAATAAAGTGGTATAACTCATCAAGATCTGTGACTTTTATTTTGATCATTTCTTCATCCGATAAAGCGATTTGTAACATTGTTCATAAAATGTACATATCTCTTATATAGTTTTATAAACTATCAGAGAGATATGTAAATTTTTTGAAAAATGTTACTATCACTTTGTCGGATGAAGAAATAACAAAAATAAAAGTTATAGATCTTAATGAGTTATATAATTTTGTTGTTGATGACTTTTTCAGCTGAAATCATTTACTGCTTCAAAATATTATTTGAAGTTTAGAAATTCAAATTTTTAATTAATAAAACAAAGTCACAAGAAAAAAAAAGCCAAAAAAATAATAGCAGTAAGAATATAATAACATGATAGAACATGATTTTAGAAACATTTAGAAAAAAGAATCATCCAATTTGGAGTTTATATGAGTGAGATAAATTGAGAAAATATGTAGTGCAAACCACATATACAGTGGAAACTTGGAAACTACCGTTGGATCGAGAAATGGACGTCCGAGATTCGTCCACATCACCATGAGTTAAAATTCAACTCCCGGTAAAATTTTAACTCATGAGTGAATCTGCGAGTTAAATTTTAACTTATGGTGACATGGACGAATTTTGGACGTCTATTTCTCGATCCAACGATAGTTTCCAAGTTTCCACTACATATATGGTTTGTACTATATATTTTTCTAGATAAACTAGTTTTAAATTTTTGGCCTGAAAGTTGGGAGTTGGGAATTTATATTGGCGGTGTAACCGCCAAGAAAAATACATATTTTCTTATCGGCTAGGGAATAGCCGCTAATAAAATATGTTTATTCTTTGCGGCTAGTTTGAACCGCCAAATTAAAGTGTAATCTTGGCGGCTGATTTCAAACCTCCAAGAAAATTACATGGCCGTCAAAGACATTATGTTTTCTTGTAGTGTAATATTTTCTACACAAAAAAATATAATAAAAATATTTTCAACACGGGATCTAATAAAACTATTTTGGTATCCTAGATGTTACGTTTTTCTATGTCATTAGCAGGATTAACTAAGTTTTCGTTTCGTTTTTCTATGCCATCATCTTGAAAAATCAATTTATTTGATCTTTCAAAAAGCACTATATATAGATTTTTTTTTAAAAAAATATATACCGTTTAATAGTATAGAAAACATCACGATGAAAAACGATGTAGTAAGTAGCCCACACAAGACGGTTGTTTTGTTTCTTCTCTTAAAAAAAAAAGAGAAGTCACGTTTTATCTGGGTTAAAAAAATGATCTGCGAATAAGATTTTTTTTTTAGTTTTTATAAGGCAAAATTGATTATATAGCATCGAAAGTTCACGTTTTTGGTTTTATAGCACCGAAAGTTACCGGTTCACTTTAATAGCACCCAAAGTTCACCATGTTCCCATTTTTAACACTTCTGTCAATTCTCTATCGTTTTCCGTCCGTCTTGATCCAGCCACACACACGATATGACGTTTCTACCCCTCACAAGTGCAAGTATAATGCATGTCAATGAGGGGTAGAAATATCATATCATGTGTGTGGCTGGATCAATAACGATAAAGACGGGCGGAAAAATTGACGGAAGTGCTAAAAATGGAAATAGGGTGAACTTTGGATGCTATTAAAGTGAACCGGTAACTTTCGGTGCTATAAAACGAAAAAGTGAACTTTCGATGCTATATAACCAATTTTGCCTTTTTATAACCCTCCAGCTAAACATGTGGCCCCCACCACTATCTGCTCCGTTATACTACGTTACGGTTACCGTGTGTGTTATGCAATAGTTCACCGTAAGTATCAGGTGCCGTCATATTTTCTGCTATTGTTCTGTTCCCGCCCAAGGTTTTCGTTCCCGCGCCATTCCCGCAACAGAAAATGCATGTGCGCCAAAAGGAACAGCCGTGCGCGCCAACGAAATATGTCGGTGCTGAAGGATGCGGGGCCCACGTTCCCTGGTGTAATAATATTATAGCACTCTGTATTTTCCCTGTGTTCCCCAGTGTTTGGACTGAACGCTACGTGATAGAACTTGTTGCGTAGTGTTTCTCTAATCCACCCGGTAATTTACAGAGTGCTAAATGAAACACTACGTAACTTTTTGCTCACACTCGGGAGTGTCTCCCGTCCTGGTAGTGACTACTCGGGTACTTTTGCAATTCTTAAGAGCAGAAAATAAATTATCTTATCTCTATGTTTTTGACTTTTCCCAAGTAATACTTAGCACCTTGCGTTACTCGGTCTATCCAACGAGCCTCCAGGTGCTAGGAATCGGCCTAAAGGCAATTATCCATCGACAAACCAAACGGAAAGCATAGGAAGATAGAACTCCATAACTCGATAGGCACTTTTGTACTCAAATTATATCACAAGCAATCAAGATAAATATTATGAAAATTGTTGAAAATATAATATAACATCTGTAGCCCCCAACTCACTAGTCAACGGCGAACCAATTGATGTAGTGAGGCAAAGGAAAAGGAAAATATCATCTAAAGAAAATTAACGATGACTTAGCTTTATAATATTCCCCTTGGTGATGGCAGAGGTGGCCAATGTAGGAACAAAGTCATCCATCAATGGCAATGAAAACACCAGCCATAGAAGCAGCTTGAGGCGACTGATGATGAAAACGAAGACGCCCATCAACAGCGGCAAAGTCCGCCAACTGTATAGGCAGAAACACCAGTCGGCGGCAATGAAGGCGAGCCGGCGGTGAAGATGTAGACGCCCAACAATGGTGGTGTGACCAAATAACCGTATAAGCAAGGACACCAGTCGGCGGCGACGGAGGCAGGCCGGCGGTGAAGACGTGGATGCCCATGGACGGTGGTGTGACCAACCAACCGTATAGGCGAGGACACCAGTCGGCGGCGACGGAGGCAGGCCGGCGGTGAAGTAGTAGACGCCCAACAACGGCGGCATAATAGGCCAGCCGTGTAGGCGGAGACACCAGTCGACGGCGGTGAAGGCAAGCCGGTTGGTGAAGACGTGGATGCCCATAAACGGTGGTGTGACCAACCAACCGTATAGGCGAGGACACCAGTCGGCGGCGACGGAGGCAGGCCGGCAGTGAAGTAGTAGATGCCCAACAACGGCAGGCATAATAGGCCAGCCGTGTAGGCGGAGACACCAGTTGGCGGCGGCGAAGGCAAGCCGGTCGGTGAAGACGTTGTTGTCATCAGCAACGGCGGTGGCGAAGACAAGCCGGCGGAGTAGACTCGTGGCCGATTGACCGCATAGCGAGACGCCTCGAGTCCATGACCGGCATCAATCGCCCCAGTAGTGCCGCGCAATTATATGCAAGTAACAAAAACAAAAAATATCAAAAGATTAATATGATATTTAGAGATCAATCTAATGAACAACAATAAGTTGGAAGGGAAAAATCCTGGTGATGTCGGAGTTTAATGCCCACAAGCAACCAGGAACTCCGTAGAACTTGGGCGACCATGTGCATGACGATCAAAACTTGGGTGAAATCGCGCGACATCGACTCGCCGCCACAAGTTCATGCATTTAAAAGAAGACCAACAGATTAGACGAGAGCATATACATATATATAAATATATATAACAGCTGTATGTGCATATATGAAGAAGATTGATCTCTGCTTTTGCCATGAGTGTATATAAAGCTTCTCCCTGTTGGTTGATGTGCTTCAAGTCAGCATGTGTTTCCTTCTGGTAGGCTCGGCAGTGTCCATCAATAGGCACCACATGCCATCGGCTCGGTTGGCATTTAGGGTCACACAAGCACGAGAAAAGTTTCGTCGCTTGAGGACACGGCAGAAAACTTCGCCTCCCTCTCAGCCGACCAACCCATGAACACAAGAAAATACCAGAAAGTTATTCTGGAATTAAAAATCAATCTAAAAATAATAATAGATTGAAACAACAAACCTGGTGATATCGAAAATTGGTTCCATCGCACTTGTTGACGGGAAACTCGACGCACCCCTACCTGGCGTGCCAACTGTCGAAACATGAATTCGGCAATAATAAAAGCGGGTAGCGCACGAGACCTAAAAGTGGATGGATGCGGAGACAAGGATTTAGACAGGTTCAGGCCCTCTCAATGGGAGGTAATATCCTACTCCTGTTTGGGGATTTGAATCCACCGGGTGTAGTATAGATCTGATGATCAGGTGT